AATGTAACATTTGTCACATATAAAGGAAACACAGTGACAGTGTTAAATGTTAACTTTACACATGGTAATACATATTTGTATTTTGCAGACTTGGTTAGAACATTAGATTAATGACAGTGATTTTGCTATTCCACCATTCATCTAAGCTTTAAGAACATGAGTCAAATTAAGCAGATATATAAAAGCAAATCAGAAGGTGAAGATGTGTGAAAAAGTTATTTCTATCTTTCCATGCAGAATTTCAACACAAGTATATGGTGACCTTCATTAGTCTTTTTTTCTTCTGCTATCATAGTAGGACACTGATACTAATGAGTTTTAGTACTTAAAAATCTCTCATAGCAAACCTGATAATGCAATTTTTTTTCTCCACGTTATGGCGTTGAACGGTTAGTAAGTTAATCATAAGTGTGGGCTTCTGGTATTAAGTGATATGGACACAGAGAGAAGGCAGAATATCAATTAGCAAAAGAAATTAGTGGCATTTTTCAATATTTTTTTTTTGTACATTTAGTAATACTACAATTCTGATGAGTCAAAATGGTATATTTCTCAAAGCTTCTAATGTCATCAGATCTTTCAGTTCGGATGTAATTAAAATCTATCATTACCATCACAACTGTCCAATGTAGGCCAAGGGCTTTCATCGGAGGCTCTAAATAGAAGTGCAAAAGTGATCCTTGGGATGTGTTCCTCTATTTGCTATTGGCCCCTCAGACTTCGTCAATAGGACTACCAGGAGTTCATCCCATAAAATGATGTCCTTTTTGTGGCTGTGCTACTATAACATCTCTTTCACTAAAGTGTGCATGCTCCTTAAAATCAAACCTTTTGTATTAATAAAATAAAACAAATACATAATTTCACTTTTTCTACTTAGCATAAAAAGGTATTTCAACTAAAACACAGATATAATTGTGCTTACACTATGAAGAACATAAAAATATGCCTAAAAGTGAAACTACACAGCTGCAGTGATTAAAGATATGGACAAATAACTAATCTAGAAACATTTTATCCATCCAGTATGGTGCTGCAAAATGATAATAAACATTCACACAGTGAAGGATGCTCTCATTGCTGTTTATGTGGATTGGGAAGAATGTTCTTGATTCTTATCATTTTGTACCATGTGCTTCATGTCACACAATCAAATGTATTATTGTTTTTGTTGAAATTGCATTTCCTATAAAGCATTACTTAGTGTCTGAAATGAAGCAAACAATTCCTAGTATCAATCATAATTGAAAAGTCTTACTGCTTTCTGCTACAAATCTAACTTCTTGCTAATCTTCAATCTTTAGCTCAATGGGTATATTATGATCTTCCTTGGCCCTTGACCCATCTCTTACATCTCTTTTCATATCTATTCTGCAACAGAAAGCCACTGAACGTGACATAAAATCCCTGTGCTCCTGACTCACCCCTTAGTTTTGTTGATGACAGGCGAAAATACATGGAGGGTGAGTAGAATGGAGCCAGCAGTTGAAAAGTAAGCACTAGTTATCTGTTACAACTCAAACAACATGAATATTCATTGCCTCTTTTCTCTTTTTAGATTGCAAAGCATTAATGACATTATGTTATTCAACTGTACACTGTTAATTCCTCAATAAATGCATCAGCCACTTTTAGAAACCAAAAATGAATATCTGTGAAAAATACAGTATTCATTAGATCTACAAAGTGCTCTAGATAATACAGAAGTGGAAAAAAAACATTGCAAAGATGGGAGAGGGCAAATTATTGAAATAAAAGTTAAGATTTAATGGGTCACATTACCACTTAAATATACCTATGATAATATCAAACTTGTATCTTAATCTAGTTAAATAATAAAAGATAATATCACTATAAAAACTCTTTCTACTGGTTTTTAACCTGTAATTATTAAATACTTTACCTTCTGGCCACTCAACATCTTCATTAAATACATGCGATCTCGCAATGTCCACTCTGTTCCAGGTTAGAGCCAAAGATAACTGTTCTGGTGGGTTAAGTCTTTGAGCATGCAGAAGAGCAGACAATATGCTCTGATCTAATTCACATCCCTCTTTCAGACGGAACACAGTAATCTGGAATAAAAACGTTTTACAAATGACTGTCTGACTCTTAATTCTACTTTTAAGTAAAATGTCAAAACCTTAGTACATTGCAGAAACTAAAATTGTCATGAAGAAACATGTCTTATGGTCATTGACACACAATATCACACACAGTGGATGTCAGTCATGGTATCACTCACTGGCATTTCTGAGTGTTGGCAATTAAAAAACATCTACAAAAACAAAATAACCTATATTGGAAAATACTTTTCATAAAGTTTATAATTCAATGATTTGCTTCTGTCTTGCCTACTTAATGAATAGTTTCTTTTGAGTTTTTTTTTTTGTGAGGAAATACAATTCAACTTTACAATTTAGTATAAAATTTCTAACCTTTATAAATTAACTTTTTTTCTAGAGCATAATTGCAATTTTTAAAACACTATCTTGAAGTC